TTCGTCGAATCTTTGAGCGATTTGATAGAACCCGTTGGACTTTTTGTATATTGCAGTTTTTCGGGTGAGGTGAGCGTAACATCCGCGCTGCTTACAATCTGACATTGTTCTGGCGAACTGGACGTTAACGCCGTGCCGATGCCTTGACGTATTGTAGCTGATGAGAAAGCTTGCGGTTTAATACTGACAGAATTTGTAGTGAGCATTGTTATGTCCGAAGTGCTAGGTGATTGGTCATTAGAATCGGTACCACCACCAATACGTGATGTTTTTGGCCAGATTGTCTGTTGGCAACGAAAACATATTATTAAACCATTGAAGTTATGACGTAATTACGTATAGTTAGATGAATTAAAATGAAAGTATAAAGCACCTTTTCATCGTAAAAACCTTGCTCATCAACACGCTGCTGCCCCAGCAATCTATCCGTCTCCAAATCTGTGTCCGGTTCTTCCTCCTCGCCCGCGGCTGTTCCGCCAGTATTCTCATCATTAGCAACACAGTTCAACTTATGCAAATGATGGCTTGCCATTCGATTGGCTGTCAATCCAGCATTCGTTGGTGATGTTTTACGCGGCACCCAAACCGGTGATTCGGGATCAGGCGGTAATACTTCATCACAGAATTTTAATTTTTCTGGTTGAGTTTTAGCCCGCTGCAGGGCCGAACGTATCTCCTTCATCGCCTCCTGTATATCAGCAGACTCACGTTGCTGTTTTGTGCGAACGCACTGTCGATATGCTACAGAAATTTGCGGTGGCGGTGGAGATTGTTGTGTGGCTATGAAGATTAAATGGAAATACGAAGTGAATACATACGAAAAACGAAAACAAAATCAAAGAATGAAAGTGTATATTATATATAAATATGAGCATTGCTATCATGCATATACAGTTGAATTGTATATACTTACTCATGGCAGGTGCGTAGACTGCATCGTAATTAGAATCGTTATGGCCCAGCTCATTCGATGTGTTTAAACAAATATCAGAATTGTTGTTGCAGCAACTGCTGTCGTTGTGCAATAGTTCATGACTGCATAACTGCTGATCTGGCTGATGTGTTTGCTGTTGTTGTTGTTTTTGTTGTTGTTGTTGTTGAATTATATTTTCAGGAACATCAATTAAATCACTTATTAAATTGCCATCCATCTGAACAGTATTCCCCAAACAGTTTGAAATGCAATTATCATGGCACTCGTGTGAGAAACTCGCGTTATACTCATTATTTTGCAGTATTGTAGGAGGCTTACATTGTTGTTGTACTTGATATTGATGCGTTTGTGTCTGCGTCGGGACATTCTCCGCACAGTTGCTGTCAAATATTTGTTTTTCATTCTCTACGGCGGTATTTACATTGTTTTCGGTATCGGAGGCATGGCCGCTCGATAAACCGTCCTCTAGTACCGGCATGCTAGTGTATAATTTACCATAGTCCGTAGGGCAATTGATGTCGTTTGACAAACTGTCGAGATCACCGCAATTTGAGTCGTAATCAGTGGTCTCAGGCGAAAGAGTAAAATTGCGCGAATGGCGACGTAGATTTGCTTCCAATTCTGTGTCGGCTAAATCTCCACTGCTTCGACTATTTGAATCTATGTACAACTCAATGTCATTGTTTTCATTATAAACCGACTCACAGGGCTGGAAGTTTGAAGGCCAGAGAGATTAATGAGATAAGTTAAACCAACATTAATATAAAACGTTTTCGCTGTGACAATGCTTGTTTTTTTACGACAGAATTGTAACTAGCAAATATTTAATATAAGTGATTTGAAATAACTTTAAGGGGCTAGAAGTAGTCAGAATTATAAACAAATCAATTTTTTTTTTTGCATTTTTTTAAAATATTATATCTGAGAAGTATTCTTCTAAAATAATTTACTGGCAAAAAAACATTATTTTAAATTGTAATTTTTTCATGTCTCTGACTGCACCTCTTAGCTAGCTCTTAGCAATTTACTTTTTACATTAGAAATTTTGTATATTTAAATATACAACGCCTTTTTATCATCGTAACAGATGCTTTTAGTTCAATATGACAAAAAATGTTAATGTTATATTTACGTCTAGACCATACTCACTTGCTTGCGGGGCGAACGGTTAATCATATTTAATTCCTCTTTGGGTATTCTAGCTAAGCGTTGTCCTATATACGCCTGTTCAATATGTTTACCCTCTTCCCGCTCACGTTCGCGCTCTTGTTCATACTCCATATGGGTATCCTGGTGAAAATAGACATAAGGAAACAAAGTGTACTTAATTTATTGTTGTGCAATTTCCATTGTTCAAAAATAACATACACAACTTCCCACGTCATCACCACTTTCAGTGTAGTCAGTAAGACGTTTTTCGTCTTCTGAATTCGCTTTAAAAAAATCTTCGAGCACTTTACGCGTTTCCGAACACTCATACAAGTAATCAAAAGCTGGTGTTTTAACTTCAGCCCCATCAATACCGGGTGTACTCCTTTCGCCAATGTCTATTAAATTGCTAACTGATTTATTATCACGGCAGTTATTCAGCCCAACTACTGGCGTTGGTGTAGTCGAGTAATAATGCTGTTGTTGTTGCTGTAAGATCCGTTGTGCACATTGTGTCGAACGTGAATTTATCTCCTGTTGCATTAATGTTTGTTGCATTGAAGCGTACTGCTGTGTACCTGCAATTGGTGACACGCGTTGTGGAAAACCTGGCGGACGTTTGGGTAGGGAACAAGTGCCTGCCAGCTTGGTACTGCCTAGTGATTGATTACCAAACCGACGTGGGGAACCTTCATACTCGGCAATTGGTAGTTGACCTATCATTTTCGTGACTTTCAGAATATCTTCATTACTGTGTTGATGATGCACTGATGTGTAACATTCTGGCACACTGTTCGTATGTTGCATTGAGCTATTAATGGCATTCGAAAACCCGGAAGTATTGGTTTTATTCATCCAATTAGTGTCAATATCATCAAATACCACTATTTCACCATCGCGCAAGCATTGGGCACCAACTTTACCGACATCTGTAGGTGATCCACCTGGGCTGGCGAGACCCTGCAATTAAAAAAATATATTAGTTTTAAACTGTTGTTGATGTGTAACAATTCTCACATACTTGTGGCATTACATTCTGTTGTTCAAATTGACTACCGGGGCTACGGCCTACTCTTATCTGATGGTGATGTTGCCGATGCTGATGATGCAGTGCATATTGCACATCCGTATTCAAGTCAGGAGAATTAAGCACAGTGCTAGCTGGTGTAACATTTGGACTTCGCGAGCGCATTTCCCACACGTAGCGCTCTTGAGGTTTTTCACTGAATTTGACAACAATTCCTCCGGGCTGTGCAAACATTTCGCTATTCAAATTCGAGTCACTACTAACATCTGTTGCTCCGCTGGCACGCCCGATTCTTCCCATAGAACCCATTGCGTTACTTAAATTGGCATTTAAATTGTTGACGGCCACATTAGAATTTGTCATATGAGCTCCCGATGATGAACCCATTGTACTCGCAATTTGAGTCGTGTGAAATGTGTCGCGTCCATTATTGGAGGGCTCCAATTCGCTACTTTCGGAGTTCATCGTTAGTTTGTTTTATAAAAAAAAAATTATTTTTTGTTTGCATTTACATTTATTTTCTTTGTTTATTGCCGTTGCGCTTGGCGTTGGCTTGATGTAGCTTTTCAAAAGCAGCGAAACTGAGTGTATCGGTTATTTGAACTTATTCGACGGATATATCAGTATTTTATTGTCCTACCATTTAGTTAAAATTATGTTGGTTTATTTGCTTTATCTCGAAAGGTTTCTTTTTGGGATAGCAAGCATTTTGGTGTGAATCTACATCATCTAATAAAACAAAGCAAATGTAATTTCAATGTTTTGAAAAGTTCATTGACATCATAACTTATGAAAATTTCACTATACCTATTTATTACAAAATAGATCTAATTGGTATCATGCTTTAAAATATATATATTTTTTTTTTTTGTGATCAAATTAAAAAAATATATATCTCCTTCGTTGTGATTATGCGGTGAGAAGATTATGGCTTACATATAACCAACGGAACATTGACATCCAGTTCATTCCTTCCTTCTTCCAATTCACAATTAACATATTTCTATTATTTATACACTTGGCTTCAAAAATCTAAAGTATTAAACTTCCTAAATAGTCTGCGCCGGAGCATAAAAAACAATCCATTCATAAAGAAGTATATGCAGACTCAGTCACTTATTGTGCTTAAATGACACATTTAACGAACCCAGCATCCCAACCCTAAAATAAATAAAAAAAAAAAAACACACTGACACTATGACGAATTGTTTGAATAGTTTTCCACAAATATTTCTACGTTGTGTTATTTTCGTTTGCATGAAAGTGATTAACATATTGTTGATTAGCTCGCAATGTAGCAACACCTCCTAAAACCATTACACAGGTGCTTTTCGTATATCGGATGTCGACTTGCTCGCTAATAGCTGGTGTGAAGGCAACGGTGATCCTTCAATTTGTGCTGCATTAAATATTTATAAATTCACTGAACCACTTGTACGTATGGGTATTTAAGCATAAACAAATCATATTTCAGATTGAAATCATCCGCGAAATTCTTGATATTTTTCAAAACTGGCTGCATTAACCGAACATAAGAAAATCAATAAATTGAAAACGTCTGCGAAATATGTATGTATATAATTATGCCCCTTCCTTGGTCGTTGTCAAAGCTACAACGAAAGATAAGGGATTAGAAATTACCTACTTTTACATATTTTTTGTATCATTTATTTGCTTCACAATTTTTCCTTATTTTGATTAAAAAACTCTTTATTTATTGCACATAAACCTTCACTACCAAAAATTTTTTCTTTAACCAGCAGCTATTTTTTCGATTACCTATGTTTCCAATTACATTTCAGCTGCTTCGCACTTTAGACCTTGCCACATAAAACGAAAAGGGATTAGCAAAGAACTTCTTTAAAATGCATGCATGTATATGAAAATACCTTATGAAAGTAATTTAATACAATGCTATAAAAACCATATCATGAAAATACCTTATGAAAGTAATTTGTTACAATACTATAAAAACCAATATTAATGTTTTCCACATCCTATAGCAATTAAATTTTTTTAAAACTGTTATAAATCACACAAATTCTAGCTTCAAACCAAGTTATTAGTCTGTTGCCAAACTTGAAGTTTGGTGTCATTTTTAAATTTGCATTTTTGCTCAGTTGTCAAAATTGGAATCAGCTGTGACGCCTTCAAACTGAATTTACACATTGTTAGATTGATATATTAACATAATTTATATTGATTTAAAAAGTGCTAGAAACACTCAATAATGGCAGCAGAATCAGCAGTGTTAAACTCAGCAGAGCGTTTAAAGTTAGGACCACGAGAGGGTGTGACATACCCTTTAGTAGTGCAATATTGTGGTAACTGCACAATGCCACTGGAAGTAAGTCGAAAAAATATATAACTATAAAATGTATTTAATTTGTTATTATATCCATAAGTACTGTGAATACTATCCCGAATTCGAAAAGTGCCGTGCTTGGCTTGAAAAACATCTGCCAAGCGAGTTCGAACAAATGAAAATTAAAGATGAAGCGTCCGGTGCTGATGGTACAGATGACGACAAGAAACGACAAAAGCGAGGAGGTAAGGGAATGATGAAGATAAAAAAAAAGGAAGATGTGCCAAAGAAAATTACAGTCTCAAGAGCTCCGCGTGGCAAGAAGAAGTCCGTTACTGTCGTGACCGGGTTAAATACTTTCGGTAAATGGATAGATTTCTGGTTTCTTATAATTTCCATATGGATAATTAAGTATCACTTTATTCATCCTTGATAGAAATTGACCTGAAAGTTGCAGCAAAGTTCTTTGGCACAAAATTCGCATGCGGCTCATCTGTTACAGGTGACGATGAAATTGTTATTCAAGGCGATGTAAAAGACGATCTTTTCGATGTAATACCTGAGAAGTGGCCCGAGATTGATGAAGATTATATTGATGATTTAGGCGACCAGAAACGTTAAGTTATAATGTTTTGTCTGCGTTTTTATGCATTTCTAACTACAAATAAAACTTATGTCAACTTTGTACAAAATAATTGGCTTTATTTTCATACTAATTATTTTCGGTCGGATTGTTAGGAAAATGTTTAGCAACAATTTGCAGAATTTCATTCACTTGCTCTTCGGACAAACGTTCTTCGCTGTCCTCAATAAGCTGAATATTGAAAAATATTAGGATAAAGTTGTGCCGGTAAAACAAGTATTTACCAATTGAATATGTAGAGCACTCGTAGGGGGATCGTTGACCATCATTAAGCATTCTGTCGTTGTTAATTTGCAGCTTAAGTTTTTTACTTCTGTTAAAAATGAATGAATGCTTTCACGAGATTCTTGTCTACATGGCGAATCCTCTAAATATTGCAAAGTCTACAAAATATAGTTTTTTACATAAAAAATAGTTGGATATGAATTTCCATACTTCATATGTGATTGTTGCCAGGTTTCGTAGCCCATATTTTTTCTTAGTATCCTTAAGTGTTTTCAAGGACTCCATCACTTCGTAATTGGATAACACTGAAAAACAGGGATTTACACTGCGAACGATGAGATATGAGATGAGGGCATAAACTATGTTTTGCAAAAAATACTCACATTTCCATTTTGTTTTAAATAAGTGTGCTTTCAATCAAGATATATTTATTTTATATTGTAAATGCCTCTTTAATTTCCTACAATTTACTTATTTTCACTCGACTGCGAATTTGTTGTTTGTTTTTACAGAATTACATTTCTATTTGACATTTCGATATTTCTTCGAGTACTGTTCTCATTTTACTTTAACGTTTTCATGCTGGTTTTTAAATTCATAACACTGCATTTCCATATAACAAAAACTATCGCCAGTCAAGTGTCCAACTTATTTCCATTGTGATTGGCAATATTTTTGTGTGAGCCTTTTTATCAAAATCATTTGGGAAATAACGTCGGGCAGGCGTGTTCGAGCTATGGACGCACATGCTGAGCTCTTGACATATGTATTTTCGGGAATATAATAATCATTGCAATTTATACAACCAAAATTAAAACATTAGGCATTCAAATACTTTCCCGAAACAATTGTCGATTCCTTTTACCAATACCTTTTCGTTATAAACGAATAAACGAAACGAGCTTGCAAATTTCTTTGAGTTGTTTTGAGGATTAAAGTTTATGCTATAACTTGCCTTTCATTTTCGTAATGAAAAATTTTAAACGTTAAATTTCTACTTAGCACGAGAACACAGATGACATACTTATGAATTTACACTCTGCATGTTAATAGTCAGAAAAATCAAGTGGCAAGACTAACATTTATTTTGCCGGTTTGACATTTCATTCTTTCAATTTGTTCTTCAATAATTTCAAAAACAGACGAATTAAGGTTGAAAACAATAACAGTTATAAATTTGATCGTATGAATTACATTTTGTTAATTTTGGTAAATTTTTTGTTGGCTTCAATGTTGATTAAAGATAGAATATTACCCGTAAGTTATTAGCCATCGTTTTTTGAAATCGTATATTCTTATATTTTGTCTTCTAATAGGTCGGCAGGAGTCGTAAAAGAGTGAGGATCCGTCGGCTGGCCAGTAGTCCTGGAAGAGATGAAAAACGTAATACGAAACAAGAGTCCAAAACTCGGATTTTCTTACAATTTCTTTTTAGTATTTTATTCTTGTTGGCAGCAGCCCTTATATTAGGCCTTCATCTCACACGCAATAATGCGAAGCAAACTACTCTTTTGCAAGATTTTCTGAATAGTTATCGACGACAATACCATCAAATTGTTCATGGGAAACCACACTATTGTGAGTCATTATTAGATGTTCAATCCATGATGTTAAGAATGCGTGATTATAGAATTTTGCATCAAGAAGAAGCTTTACAGCGATTGGAAAGAACTTTGAGGAATCAAACACAGTTTCACCCTATTGCAATAGTGGGACCCTCGGGTGTTGGAAAAACCATGACAGCAAATGCTTTAGCGGCGAATTTTCCATGGAATGAAAATGTGTGGACATACTCTTGGAATACACATGTTGAAAACGAAGTACAGAAATTTCGCATGTTACGACTTTATGTAGAACAGTTTTCTGATTGTGGCCGTAATTTATTAATAGTTGATAACCTTTCGCCATGTGATGACGCAGTAGTCCCGCTGTTAAATCAAATGATAGCTTCTCAAGAAAAGGCAAGTAATAACCGCGTCATCGTGATTTATATATTTAATTTAAACGCAATGCTGGATTTAAATTCGTATCAGCAACAAGAGAGAACATTGCAGCATTTACCTAATACAACCATAATAAATTTCAAGAGATTAAATGAAAGAGATTTGAGAGACTGTATATACCGCGAAATGCATACTGAAAATCTAACTATCACTAAAGATAACTTTGACGAAATTTTTAGGACAATTGATGTAGCAACCTCTGGATGCAAGAAAGTGAAAGCAAAAGTACTAGTTTATGGCCATTCCTGTGAGGAAAATGGAACAGCTCATGAACAGTGAAGCTAAGTTACCAAAGATTTTATCCAATTATAAAAGGACTGCATTACTTTATAAATAAAATTTCAATTATATAGGTTATTATAATATGAGGCTTTTACAAAATTGTTTGTAATTTTGACCAAAAATTGTATTATTGCGACTGTTTATTTTTGTGTTAAAATTAAAAAGAGAAAAAATATACTCAACTACTTAGGATAAATTAAACCGTTTTTTTCCTATTTGTATGCTCTAAACAGGGATATAAAAATTGCCACATAGTTTGTAACACCCAGAAAGGAATCATCGGATACCCTATAAACTATATACCATATATCTAAGGATTATTGCCCAAGGCAACGATACAATCTCCGAACAAATTGTTCAGCATATACCTGCAATGCAATCTGAAAGATCAAAATCAAATTCTTGCATGGAAACTATTATTTGTGAAGAGTGTTATAGCTTCCCTGAATCTGAAGTTTGGTTGGAAGAGTATGATTGTAACACTTGAAAACGCATAAAAATTGAATTTTATACAGAGAATTGATAAGATGAATGAAAACATTTCCTGAATTCTTTTCGATCAAACAAATTGTCGAAATGTTTGAAAACTATTACGTTGAAATTATTGAAATCGTACCCAAAATCAATTTGGATGTAATTATTTTTCTTGTTGTAGCGGAATATCTAGACCCTCTTTGGAAGAAAGCGCAAAATTAACTGTGGCCAAAGCCCCCTAACGGATGTCCAGGAACTGAAGGTCTATGGACAAGGGTTTTAGGTGGGTTAGGACATAAGATTTGTATCTCAGGGTAGGAGTTTAGCCTACTCCAGTGTCCAGAACGAACTTACACAAGTGTCACTCCGGTTGCCCACGGCAACTTGATAAGTTTATCCCGCTTGAAGTTTTTTAGCGAAACATCTTAGCAGAATCTGCCTGGGGAGGAATTCGTTGTGTTGCTTAATCGAGAGTATATAGGCCTCACTCATTTACACAGTTTCACGTTTGGAGCCATCACGAGAAATACTGTAATTGTCCCGAGTGCAGTGTTCTGCCAAGTCTCCATCTTCCATGACTGCGTCCTGCTCCATATTGGAGCGACGTAGTTTATGACCGTCATATCGATTGCCTTTTAAGTTAGCAACAACGTTTCATTGTTTATTGCCCAGGTGCTGCCGGTCGTCAGTATGCAGAGTGTAAAAGTACAGGCAGTCGAAATGAATATAGTGGCAGGGGAGAGTGGTAAGCGCCTAACAATAAAAAAGCGAGAATGGTTGTTCACTTTGTCTCCAAAAAGGATTTTACCTCGTTGATCACATCTTATACCTATGGTGCGAACTCTTTTGACATTTTGCGCAGACGCCGGGTAAGGGTGTGGTATAAATTGCTAGATAAAATAACGCGCCCACTTTTTCGGGTCCAAGGAGGTATGACCAACGAACTGAATTTCGGCGGAGAGTTTGCAAGACTCCAAGTGCTCCATCCATTTCGTCCGTTTATGGTGATTTACTAATTGTCGAATCTTCAAATTTAGATCCCTTGTGCGCAAATTAGAGGGATCGGCATGTTGTAAGTTGTCGTGCTCATATGCTAAGATTTTTAGTTAGAGTTAGCATAGGTATAGGTTATGTTATTGTCAAACCACATCATACTTCTGGTTGAGGCTTCGTCATTCATTGTCAGAATGTAAAATGTACCTTTGGTCAATATCTCCTTCAATAAAACGATATTACACAGTAGTTATTAGTATAGTAGTTGAAAATTTGGATTGATTAGCAAACCGTTATTGTTTCACTCCACTTTAGGACTTGTTTACAAACATTCGCACGCAAGGAATTCAAAGTGTTTACTATTAATAATTAATTTATTGCGACATTTATTTGTATGAGTAAGTAAGGTTCAGGTTCAGAGGTATTTTTGATGAATACAACAACACTAAAGTCTGCATAGTAAAGTTAGTACAGGCTACTAAACTTTTAAATGCAACTGAACGAGCGCAGGTGTCGAGTACCGTTATTTTACCAAACAAAAAAATCGCTCACTATAAAAATCCTGCTTCCATAGGATAGCACATTATTTGAAAAATGTTCGCTTTGGTAAAAGGTCGTGGTCGCAGCGTGTTCGCCTCTCGCGATGCAGTTATTTATCTTTTTAACACATTTCGATTTGTGGGTCTGAGTCCACCGCCTCGCTGCCGTTTACTGTACTACTGCTATAGCAGTATTATAACGCTTTTAGTCGTCTTACTTTCGCCGTTCATCTTCAATATTGGGTGGATACGTGATAGAAATATCTTATCGGTAATGGAAATCCTAAATTGCGTCCAAGCGGCCCTCAACGTCATCGGCGTGCCAATTAAGAGTATCACACTGGCTTTGTCATTGGATCGTTTACGCAGTGTTGAACCTCTATTGTCGAAGTTAGATTCACGCTACACCGAACCCGAGGATTTGGCTAAGATACGAAGCTGTGCAATCACTGGCAATCGCATTCTATTCGGCTACATTATCTCATATATGATGTACGAAACATTGACGGTGGTTTCGGCATTGTTGGGTGGCCATGCGCCGCTAACCTTGTATATTCCATATGTGGATTGGCATCGCTCAGGCTGGGAGTATTGGTTGCAAGTTAGCTTCGATGGCGCTATGCTCTTCTTTCTACTATTCCATCAAATACTTAATGACTCATATCCAGCTGTATATATTTATATTATACGTACACAAGTACAATTGTTGGCGAATCGCGTCAAGCGCTTGGGTACTGCAAATAAAAGCCAGGAGGAGACATATCTTGAGTTGCAGGATTGCATTATAACACATCAGGAGATATTAAGGTTTTTAGCATAGAGTAAATACTAATTGACATAAGCGGTTCCAAATATTACTTCTCTTAATCGCAGATTGGTGAGCGTCGTGGAACCGGTTATATCTTTAACGCTGTTTGTCCAGTTCTTCATCGCTGCAGCTATCTTAGGCACGACCATGATAAATATCTTCATTTTTGCTGATTTTGCTACAAGAATTGCCTCGGTTACTTATATGTTTTGTGTACTGCTGCAAACGTCTCCCACTTGCTACTACGCTACTCATTTGCAGTCGGATTGCCAGCAGCTTTCTATGTCGATTTTTCACTGTAATTGGCTTGCGCAAGGCAAACGCTTCAACGCATTGTTGCTATATTTCTTACATCGCTCACAGGCGGATATACCGTTGTTCGCTTTGAAGTTAGTGCCAATTAATTTGTCTACAAGTGTCTCAGTAAGTTAGATGCAATGTTGTATGTAGATTTGCATAGAAAGTCTTTTGAAAATACATGTCTTTTTCACTCTTTCAGATTGCAAAGTTCTCATTCACTCTTTATACATTTATACAAAAAATGGGAGTGGGCAAGAATCTGAAGTAACAAAAGACGAGACATAATGTCTGAGCTACCTTCACCATTGCACTTTGTTGACTAAAACTGTAAATGTAATTTATAGTGCACTTCAGACGTACTTCAATTGGTTATTTCATAACTGCGATTAATTTTATTCAGTCCAAAGTCCGCAAAAGCTTAAGATATGACACCTTATTTTAATAAATTTGGAAACAAACATATTTTTGAGATCGAAGGCAGAAAGAGGCGCTGGGAGCCACGCTAGTGACACGTTACATTCATTCGATTGTGAGCTCGCAAGACACTCATTTTGCATTGCATTACCTACCCAAAAATTATGTCAAACACCTTCCAAAATTATTTTGTGCTTTTTTTAATCAAACAATATGTAGTAGTTCCACAACCGTTTTCAAAGATTTTTCAAAACGTCGTCAATTCAAATCATACAAGTATATCTCATGAAACAGCTAACTAGCACCTTCTCATAGAACCGATACGCAATTGTAAGTGCATATATAATATATGAAATATTAATGTTTCCTTATAATCCTTCCAGGTTCTTTCCTATAGAAACACCTTTTATATGCTTTAGCGCATGGCGATGTATAGTAATTTAATCTACTCTACATTTGTTCAAATATTTTAACGACTTCAGCAAATTCCAAAGCATTAATCAAAGTATACGCGACATAAACGATTTTTGGATCGCACATCACCACCAAACTTTCGTGTTGAATCGCACATTTAACCATCTATACGTACCACTATGATATTATATTTTCTATCAGCCAAGAGATTTCGGTTGTATTTATTTTAATCGAAATTAGGAAATTATTCCCCGATACCTCGTATGTTTATAACATTATTCGCCAAACACCGAAGTTTTGCACTTTACTTTACTTATTTTTTTTAAGGATATAATATAAATCCAAATGTTCGACTTTTTTGTGGTATATTGGACGACATATACATTTACTTACTTATATAACGAGTGCGTCAATCTTGCTTGAGCACGGGAATAATTTCGACATCACTAATAGAGTTGGTGAGACATACTTTGGAAACCTCAATAGAGAAAATTTTTCGCAGCAACGCAGTCAAACAGTCGGTCGATCGATCAGCAGGGTGAGTGCAGTTCCTCCGCACGGAAGTGAAACTTCATGATGGAAAATTGGACACATGAAAGTATTGAAATCAATGTTATTATAATGCAACATTTTTGGCAAATACAAATTTGTATTTTATTTTCGACAACCAAATTTTTTCAATTTATTTCTCACTTTCAGCGGGCGCTGTATTCATATTAATAATATTTACAGGTGGATTATGATAGCTAAACTAAGATATGAAATGTTTAATTTCTATTTTATTAATTTTTTTTGTCGAAAACTGCATCAAGAGTATTCTACGCGTACTCCAATAACATCGTCCAGAGCTTGTGAACCTAAATTCGATAATGGCAATAAAGCTTTTCCGATGATTAATATGATATCGCTCATTGAAGCATTTGGTGATAGATAATTAATTTCTTACTTTTGTTATCGTTGGAGTTGATTTTGCACTCTACTGCACATAAGTCCCCAATTCTTGCTGATGTTGATACCGTGACATCAAATTACACTTGAGTAAGGAGTTTTCATTCGCAAATGATTAGGAACAACGTAATATCTGTCCTTTTTATTACGAAAGATGGCAACATCTGAATTTTAAATTTCGTTACGTTGAAGTCTTACAACAAATTCAAAATTTAAAATCAATACATTTGGTATTCTGCACTAATTTCTTTAGTTGAACAAATCCGCCAACTTCTTCCAAAACCACACAAATTGTACAGGATTTTCCAATAAAATTTATATGATTAAAAAAAGCCCCCACTAAAATTGTAAAGGAAATTCAAATGCTTTTTATTTAATGTAAAGTACAATCCATACAATTGAGTTCTGAATATAACATTATTGAAATGGTCTCCACGACTTCTTTCTCAAATGTATCGTATGGCGTGAATAGCACGTTCAATATTGATTTCAAATAACCCCACAAGAAGTAGTCTAATGGTGTTAAATCACTACTTTTTGGAGGCCATTTCATGTCACAATTTCTTGAAATTGCAATTAGAGAACGATTATTTTGATAATAAAACTGAATAATTTGAAAATATTACTGAACACAGTGAAAAAAACAAATTACAAATCATAACATAGTAAACGACGCTAAGAAATCATATCACCCCTATTGGAAAACCCGATATTTTTAAATCGGGTTGGCGCAAACGCCATTAAGCATAAGCCTCCATCCGGTGTATGCTTTTTTCAGCACACAAGCAGACTCTTATGCTGTAAAGTAGTTGAGAATTCCACAATAAAAATATATTAATAGAATAGCGGAACGAAAAATTTGGTGGTGATTTGGAATTTCTTGCTCTGCTGCGCTAAACGCGGATTAAGTATTACTTCATGGGAAAGAAAAGGACATTTAAGTCTTCTCTACGCTACAGACTGACTGACTCCTAATATGTTGTAAGTACAATATTTTAGTTTTGTTATTATTAGAGCTGACGCTTCGCTGACTAGTTTCCATTTATCAGAGGACTGACACATATGTGCTGTCAAAGTTTTCATCGTTAGACTACCGCCGAGTGTATTGTGAATGTCTGGTATCAGTCTTTTTTGAGCCATATTGTTAAGCTCTTGGTTCTCTCCTCTTTTTTTACTTCTGAAGACGGCACTGAAATTCATCCCCCTGGATGTCGATAGGCGGCATGCTGGCTAATACTTCAGCAGCATTATGTGATATCGTTCGGAAAGCACTTATTATTTTATGTCTAGCGCTTGTATCCATATTGGTGCTGCATATAATATCACGGTACTCATTGCTTTTGCTATTAAAAACCGCCGGCTGGAATGTACGCAGCCTCTATTAGCCATCATTCGATAGAGCATTATAAATTTTGTTTGCTTTACCGGTGTTCCTTAAATTTTAATTTGGAGTGTAGTATTACTCCCAGATACTTCAACTGCGGCTGTGACGTAATCTCGCACTCCCCTATGGTGAGTAATAACCTTTCTTCAACCTTCTTTGTGCTTATGAGCAAGACTTCCATTTTTATATTTGCCCACTTTGCGAAGTTGAAGACATTCTTCACGTCCAGAGTAATACTTTCCCGGGAGAACAAAACTTCAGCAATTATAGTCAAATGATCGCTATTTGTGTAGATGTCTGACACCTTCCACTTAATACGCTCCGCTATAATTATTGGCGATTTGTCTCTGGTCTCAAGGACAGTTCCAGGGGAAAGTCTTCAAAATCTTTAATTAATGCGCGGGGACGGGCAACGTAGCTTACAAAATATATGCCTTGTATTTTTGGTACATGTGAAACCATTGTGAGCTTGCCTGGAATGCAACATAAAAGGTTTCCCTTTGCAAGACCATATTGCTGCTGTGATATCAACAATCTTAAGTGATATCAATATTTTTTTCTAAAATCGTTTGTTTGAGCAGGTCTTGTACATCTTGAAGCGTTTGTGCATATCTTTGCAACATGCCATCCAGTTCCACAACGCGTACAAAGAGACGACCTGTTAGTCGGGTTGTAACATTTTCATACCATATGTCCCAGGTTGAAACGAATATTCCCGGAAGAGAAAAATCAACTACCCTATCCTAACTTTGCCCAGTTTTAGTGCAGCCTTGGAATCCTGAGCGCGCAGGCATACAATAGCTATTTGTGTGTCATTACAGTTTTTTTTCATACTTTTGACGCTTGTTTTCACTCCTTTTATAGTGCTTCGCAGATTTCTTCAGGAGTTGTCTCCTTTCACAATTTTCCGTACGCATATATGCACTATGTTGATCCCTAGGATTTTCCTTTATTATTCTCGTGGACTCACTGGTTGTTGGTTGCATTTTTATACTTTCGCAACCTGTTGCTACAGAGTATAATAGTTTTGTTCACCTAACGGTTGTTTGTATCACCTAAAACTAATTGAGTAAGATATAGGGTTATATATATAAATGATCAGAATGAAGAGACGGATTGAAATCCGGGTGACTGTCTGTCCGTCCGTCCGTGCAAGCTCTAACTTGAGTAAAAATTGAGATATCTTTATGAAACTTGGTATACATGTTTCTCGGTACCGTGAGACGGTTGGTATTGCAGATAGGCGTAATCGGACCACTGCCACGTCCACAAAACGCCATTAATCAAAAACAAATAAGTTACCATAACTAAGCTCCGCAATAAGATATAAGACTGTTATTTGGTACACAGGATCACATTAGGGAGGGACATCTGCGGTTAAAATTTTTTTTAAAGTGGGCGTGGTTCCGCCCCTAATAGGTTTGATGTGCATATCTCCTAAACTGCTAAAGCTATAATAACAAAATTCACTGAGAACAAATGTTTTAGCACCTCTATCTACGGTGTGAAAATGGGTGAAATCGGGTGACAACCCCGCCCACTCCCTGTATAACGGTACTGATAAAAACTACTAAAAGCGCGATAAATCAAGCAGTAAATACGCCAGAGTTATTAAATTTTAACACAGGGATCGTATGAGCTGACTTTATAGGAGCCGCGTTCGAAATTAGACAATGGGCGTGGCACCGCCCTCATTTAGGTGAAAACCCATATCTAAGGATCTGCTTAACCGATTTTAACCAAATTCGGTACATAACATTCTTCACATATTACTATGCTATAGTGCGAAAATTAACGAAATCGGATTACAACCACGCCTATTTCCCATATAACACCATTGCAAATCAAACAGCAATGACTGTATCGGAATAAAACTTTGCGTGAATAATACGTTTAAAGTATGCCACTTTGTGAACAAAAAAAATTGTCTAAATCGAATCAAAACTGTTCAAGCCCCTAGGTACTGAATATGTGGACCCCAGTGCCTATAGCTGACTTTTTACCGAAAATATCGGTCAACATAGAACAAGGCGGCAAGATCCACAAAGAAATCTAAAACGAGTATACCATTTGACTTTGCGAGAGTATAAAATGTTCGGTTACATACGAACTTAGCCCTTCCTTACTTGTTTAAACAGCTTTTTTTGGTTGTTTCGTGGGGGGTAAGCTCTATATTAACACTAGAACTACGAACCGGTCAAATAATTGACTTATACCATTTCCTCTTTATTCCTATTTAATATTTTACGATAATGTCATGATTTTGATTAAATTTGTGTATTTAATAATATTATAGATTATTTTGTTCTTACGCTACTAATTTTCAGAAAGGGAGAGACCTATTTGTAATAGGTATATGGTAAATCTTCGTAGTGTTAAACTCGATTAGTTTTAAGTGTTACAATCGTTACTAATTTAATATTTAAGAATCAAGAACTTGAATGAGAACAATAGATAAAATAGCTAAAACAAACACAATAATAATTTATACTAAAACGTGACCTATATTTATGCGCACGGAAAAAAATTCTTAACAGAACTCAGACTAAATAAAAAAATAATAACAAAAAGCGAAGTTTCTACATCAAATTACTTAAACACAATACGGGCGACGACGAATATTCGTCGTACTCGGCGGCGCCGTCGAACGAATTTTCGCCGAGTGTTGCCGCCGTGTAAAACACAATATGGACGATTTTCGCCGCAACTGTCAGTGCTTGTCAACTGTTAGTGCTTGTGAGTCTAAGAAAATATGAGTCCTCGTATTTTTCGATTAATCCAAATTTTAAAAATGTTAAATAAAATGTTAACCATGTGTAGGTAGGTAGGTAAAGTGGCTGTCTTTCGACCCACCTAGACCTTTAGGAGACCCATTGTGATACCATGTGTAAGATATACATAGATTTTAAATCGCGTTCAAGAAGAAGAGGATGGATATGACCCGTGAATTTAACAAGAAAGGAATTAGGGTTTTATGGTACTTGTTTTAAAACGCTGAAATCTATGGAGGAAGAGCACTTTTTCCAATCAACAAGGATGAGTGTTTAAAAATTTAAGCTCTTCTTTATTTATTAAAAGACAAGCTCCATCGCTGTTCGAGAATAGAACCGATAAATGAAGAAACACGTTGGGGAATTACATTTAATAATTTATATTAGAATTGTAAATAACAGGAAGTTATATTTAGGTATTTATCTCAAGCCTGCTATCTTAAATCTCGAATGGAAAAACATTTCTGAAAAGTGGGCTTTACATTTTTGCTAAATAATAAAAATTGATTCTATAAATGAATTTTTTTTTATGTTTGTATTAACATAGTTTGCCCGAGACGTAGTGGTTCACTTTTTTATAATTACAAAAAAACATTCAGCATTGTTCTAATCGCAGCCTGTGACTCCGACTATACATTTACTTTTGTTAATGTTGGGGCAGTAGGAAGTCAAAGCGATGGCGGAATTTTTGCTAAAAGTGCTTTTGGGAAAATAATATTAAGAGGAAGCATCGTATTGCTTCCTCTCGATCACCTTCCAGGTAATTATTAAATAATCTGAATATTGGAAATAACTTAATTTTTTATGATTACAAATACTTTCCTTATTTAGATACAAATAAAGACTTCCAGTATATCTTTGTGGGGGAATGCTTTTCCACTTAAGGAAAACCTTATGCGTCCATATCCTGGCCACAACTTGTCTCCTCTGAAGCAATACTACAATAACAAGTAAGGAAGGGCTAAGTTCGGATGTAACCGAACATTTTTACTCTCGGAAAGTGAAATGGTATACTCGTTTGAGATTTCTTTGTGGATTGGCTGATATTTTCGGTAGAAGGTCAACTATAGGCACTGGGGTCCACATATTTAGTACTTAGGGACTTGAACAGTTTTGGTTCGATTTAGACAATTTTTGGTCACAAGGCGGCATACTTTAAACGTATTATTCACGCAAAGTTTTACCCCGGGCTGTGCCACGCCCACTGTCTAATTTTGAACGCGGTTCCTATAAAGTCATCTCATACCATTCCAGAGATAAAATTTAATGTCTCTGGCGTGTTTAGTGCTGGATTTATAGCGCTTTTAGTAGTTTTTAACAGTACCGTTATATGGGGAGTGGGCGGAGTTGTCACCCGATTTCAACTATTTTCGCACTGTGGGTAGAGGTTCTAAAAAAATTTGCTTCCAGTGGATTTTGTTATTATAACATTAGCGGTTTAGGAGATATGCACATTAAACCTATTAGAGGCGGGACCACGCCCACTTTAAAAAAAATTTTAACCGCAGATGTCCCTCCCTAATGTGATCCTGGGTACCAAATAACAGTCTTATATCTTATTGCGGAGCTTAGTTATGGTAACTTATTTGTTTTTTATTAATGGCGTTTTGTGGGCGTGGCAGTGGTCCGATTACGCCCATCTGCAATACCAACCGTCTCACGGTACCCAGAAACATGTCTACCAAGTTTCATAAAGATATCTCAATTTTTACTCAAGTTACAGCTTGCACGGACGGACAGACAGTCACCCGGATTTCAACTCGTATCTTCATCCTGATCATTTATATATATATAACCCTATATCTAACTCGATTAGTTTTAGGTGATACAAACAACCGTTAGGTGAACAAAACTATTATACTCTGTAGCTACAGGTTGCGAGAGTATAAAAAGAAAGCACCAAAAATTAATTGATAAAATAGTGTTAGCATCAGTTGTGCTACATAATTATCTCATGCTAGATAGGAGCTCAGGATATTTTACTGAAGAGTTGGTGGACCATTCGGAAAATGGTGCTTTCGTTCCTGGAATTTGTAGGCACACAACTTCGCAAAGTCCAACTTTTCGAATTTCGCAAGCCAACCGTTCAACGGCGGAGGCGTTGAGGGACGAATTGGCGGAGTATTTAATTAAAAATTAAGCTAGTATTTTGTAAAATTTTATTCATTTTTTATTAAATTTCTTTTTTATTTAGTAAAATTCATATAAAATAACAAAAAGCGTTCATATTTCAAAATAACAATTCCACAGAAAAGCAAAAAACAATTCATAAGAAATATATAAATATAATGTGTAAAAATTCTAATTAATACTAAGCAGACTAACGCATTGCACCAAAAAATTAAAAAATAACACATAAAGAAATTATTTCAGTCAAATACATGTCATTTCTAGTTTCCTAATTCACTATACACTAAGGCACTTCGCCTCAATTTGACATATGTGTTAAGGGGTTAAGTTAGACTCACTTATGTTCCTCGCCAACCTTTTGAATGACAGTGACGTTGCATCCTCTTGTTCTGTGGAAATGGCTGCAAACTCTTTCACTGTATCCACGCACTTCTTCATCATGTCAGTGAACACAACGTTAACGCCATCCCTTGATGTCTTCCTTTTTTTGCCGCATTTAGAGGAGTGTAATAACCTTCTGGAGGAGTACTTGTACTTGTTAAAGAAGAGCACTCTATTTCTTCCATTCTATTAAGTGGAAAAGATTAAATTATAAGAATACAAATAAGGCAAATGTAATATTTACTCTCGAGAATCACTGTAGCCGCGCAAAACACTTAACGTGTTCATATATTTCCATATTTTGCGTGGAATCGGAACACCACTGCCGGAAGCCAGTCGCTGTCCTTTCCAGCCCTTTCCAGCGTTTCCTACAGCTGTCTTCTGAAAATATTTATAATACAATACTTTAGAATAAAGTTTATAATAAAACAGGCTTTTCTTTGACTCCTCCGGCACATTTATTATTTTAGCTACTTCTTCCCAAATTTGGATTTTTTTAAACACATTTTTGTAATTCGGTGACGATAAATTGTTAATGCACTTATATTTACGTAGTTCCTCTATTAATTTTTCGTTTAAATCCATTTTATTTGCTTATAGCCACCTAGTGCGTACTTCGCAGTTAAAAGTATCACAATGTTTTGATTTTGAAATTAAAATGACGAAACCAAACAGAAACGATCTTAATATTGCCAACGCAGACAATTTCTTGAATTTTTTTTTTAATTCTTAAGATTTTACTTAAAATAATCTTTCTTTGATATGGCAATGTCGGTTTTGCCGCGGTCGGCGATAAAATTAGAAATAGCTCTATTTCAAAAATCGTCATGGTGGGCGAAATTCGCCGCCGTCGCGTATTGTGTTAATCTTCATATACACTCGTGTGTTCGAATCACCCACGGCATCGCCGAGTACGACGAATATTCGCCGTCGCCCGTATTGTGTTTATGCTATTACTTGTTATTTATATTGACGTAGATATCACTAGTAACCGTTACTATCTGTTTTCGTACATACTTGCTTGCTCTTCACATTAAAAACCGTTAAAACGTCTGAGCTTAGATGTGGTTGTGAATCAAAGACTTTAAATATTCGCATGTGTTTGTTGCTGAGTTGAGTGAAATATTTCTGTTCATTTTGTATAGTCAACTTTTAGGCAGCTTGAATATTTATAAGAAAAACGCTCGAAATTTTCGTTTTCAAAATAAGTGAAGTTGATTTCCACTTTCCAATAAAATTCTAAAATTGATAGTAATAATACACCTTTTTTCCATATTTTTTAATGATTTTATTTCGAAATCAACAAAAAAATTTACAATTTGAATAAGGTCATCATACTTTAGTATTCTTTAACATTTTTAGCCAAGAGCATATTATTAAACTTTTGTATTAACTAATTTAAACGTTTGTATATCATTTTATTAATGAGTCGATCCCGCCTTGTTGAAAATGATCTTTAAGATCTGATTGAGTGGTGAATGGTATAATTTTCCAATGTTATTTAAACAAATGATGACCAAACATTTTTAATACATTCAACTAATTCCTCTTTAGTGGAATACTATCGGCCAGTCTTGAAAACTTTGCGAGACAACCATCCCCACAGTTGTTCCAACTGATGTTCCTTCTTCCGAAGATCTTGGAAAGAATACTTGTATCCATCGGCCTTTCTAAATTAATTTGTTTTCGTCTGGAAAGACAAAATAGCCATATAATAATATCCAAGATAATAATATCCAAATATGGAGCATTTCTTAACACCCTTTAAACAGTAGATAAGCTCGCTTTAACACCAGTATATGCCCGGATCTTGGAGGTCGATGCATGAGAGTTGAAAATTGTTCTTTATTGTGACCGCTTTTTTTAGTTCGACAGTAACCCGATTTATTACGCAAGAAATTGACTTTTCGACTTCTGCCCCCTTTTTTGATATTTTAAATACTGAAAGCTGTAACTCTTCATAAGCTTCGATTATTGCTTTCTCTTCAACAATTTACAATTTCCTTTAACCATATTAAAGATAATAGAACACCTATAGCCTTCTAGTCTAGATGTCTCATGTCTTCAATAAGATTTTTCAAAATTCAAATTATTTTTGGAGATACTTAGAAACAGGCCGGAACTAAAACTTTAAACCCGTTTTTCTCGAAACTGTCTTTTTCAAAACGGTACCCATTATTTCTCAGGTTCGACTGGACATATTGACCGATATATACGGTATAAAGTAAATCTGAAGATTGAACGAGAAGAGATGTGCAAACACATTTTTGGTCAATGTAATGTTTCACTTCAATACCCACACTAGTATCTCAAAACTTGGTTTCGAGAAGTACATACTCTGTACACATACGAGTTACGCTCAGCCATTAAAAGTCTTAGTCAAAATAAATCAAAATTCATAATTATGCTTAAACAATGTAACATGAAAACTTATTAAAATGCAAGCAAAGAAATGTCTTTGAAATTGATGCTTAGAATTTAAGAAGACTCTAAATCATTATTCTCGGAAAATGTTTAAACGTTTCTGTGGAGATACTTGCTCTAGTAGTTAAGGGAAAATTACTGCTAAATAATATATGATACGATATTAATATGTTGAAATTTGGCAATAAGCTGTACAAAAACCAAAGTCCTCAACACCCCAAATTCTAACTATTTTCTAATATGTTGGATGAATTAAAATTCATTCTCACATACAAAATTTCTCTCTTAAATTAAAATGTATGTTTTCTACTTTTTAAGACAAAAAAATAAATTATTTGGATTGAGCATTTCTTCATTAATGAGTTCAAAAGAAAAGTTTGTGCAACACATTTTTAACTATTTAAGTTATTATTTTACTTCTTTTAGGTTTGTTTGTCTTAACGAGTATATACCCAAAAGACAGAAGTCACATATGGATCAATTGTTCGAGCCAGAACCTTCCGGATGCTTTCTACAGTTAATATACGATTACATAAACATGTAAGGGTGTGAGGAGTTTTGTTTGAAGAAGGAAAACTCTGCAAATGGTTATGTTAAGTTGTTTGTATTAGTGCGTGCGAATATAATTTAACATATGCAGGTTTGCTAACAACTTAACTATTGATCATCAAAACAGTCCAGGCACAGAATAAATGTATAGCAGTAAATCATATTTTGAAATTGGGGTTTTATAAAAAAACCTCTCGCCTATTTGCTTATGTACAGTGGAATGTAAGGCAGGTCGCCTCCACGCGGTGCATTCTGGGTAACGCTAAATGACCTGCGGCCTTCACGGCCTGTTAGACTACTACGGATATTTAACCCTGGATGACATGGACTTTGCATATAATGACTTTTTTGGATCTGGTTGAATCCTGGGCTGGTGGCCGAAGTATTCCGTTACTTCAGTATGTAGGGGTGACACCCTGCAGAAATGGCTGGCGGGCTAATGCTGAGGCTGCCTCGTCCCGTTAAAACCCTGGCAGGCCTCAGAGTACGTTCCTTTCCCGTCATCATTAAGTTGGTGTGGTAGGTGCAGGTTGAGATGACTCCTCTTTACGCTGGTCGGCTCTGAACGCATAGCTTCATAAGGGCATGCGTCAACCCTCGCCTTGGCCTCGTAAATGAGATAACCTTGGGACCATCAAAAGCGACTACCTTTCTGGGAAGTGGATAGCGGCTCTGAGTGGGGACCCATGAAACATGAATACTAAAACTCAAAACAAATGGACGAGGGAGAAGGTAGGTGGGAACCAACCTATTCAAAATTAGACAATGTCTCAGGATGGCTGTCATTACCTATGCGGACGGAACCGTTCTAACAAGAGGTAATGCAAGTATCTCCACAGAAACGTGGCTACTTCCGCAGGAGGCGGTAATTCAACGGAGTAAACTGGAGCTTGCCCACAGTAATCCAAGTAAAGTTAAGGTGCGAGACGAAATCGTCAGCAGGAGCAGAAGAAAATCTGCTACGACTACTAGTAGTTCGCGAACCTCAGCAAACGCTAAGGGTACTGGTAAGAAATACGTGTCAGCAGCTAGAAAGCTGAGGTCGGATCGTCGCATGGCAACTAAGATTTTACTGCGCTATGGGGCAAAACACTGAGCAAGATTCTGAGCGGCATGCTAGCACACTGGAGTGGGCTAAACGGGTACTGAGCGGTGGAGAAACCAAGCGAACAGGATCGAGAGAGGCTCAGTCTTGGTAAAGCGGCAGAGGTTGCATAAGGGAAGCATCCCTCAGCAAAAGGCACGGACAGGAGCGGCATTAACGTTTAACGAAAACGCAAAACACTTCGGTCCAATAGAACTTGTGTTTTTGACCGCAGCAGAGAAGATGGAATCATTTCCCGGGAGAGTGGAAAGGGTAGCGGCGGCAATATCGGCGGTTTTTATGAAGGTGGTCAGTGGAAATCCTGGGCCACCGCCGACGTGTGAGAGTGCCGGTTGGTACCATGGACTGCACAAGCTTATCAGATGTGCCGAGAACGGTCGGCATCCATTTATAAGGAAGCTGTAGCCAGAGGGGGAAATTTGGAAAGGAGCAAGAATCGAGGCGATTATTAAAACGATTTCCACTCCGCCCTCGTGCTCGTGTCTGGCTCCAGCTGAGCCCTCTAGTCCTGACGAAATTGAAGAGATATTGCGTTATTGCAATCCTTCTCTACCAACTCACAACTGGAGGGTGATCAGGTTAGAGAGTACTCAGAAACCATATCGGCAAGTGCTGATACTCATAAACAAGGAATCACTCGATCCTCTTAATCACGCAAAAGGAGTCATAAACTATGGTTTCGAGAAAGTTGTTCTCCAGATTCTACCGAAAGACGTCAGAGACGATGATCCGCAGACTTCATATGTTTGTATGTTTGAAGAAGTTGGTGAGAATCTCGCACTTTCAGGTTTCAACCTATATTCCACATGACGACAACGTGAGCCGCTTTCGCTTTTGCAAGTTCGGATGCGAACTTGAAGTGCTTGGTCTGAGAGGGCGGAGACATAATTGCTAAAGGTGAGTAATTTTTATGATTTTTATATAGTGATCGTATTCAAGTCTGAAAGGAACCCCTGATATTAAAATCAAGGTTCTTATTGACCAGTCCTTCTAGGTATATTAGTTTTGGCTTGGACGCAGTGCGTCAAGATAGAAGACCTATATAGGAACTTTGAGTACACGAATTCCTCAATGCTCTACCCTCAGAGCGGTTGATGAGTATGTCAAGGTATTCCACTCTGTCTGAGGGTCCACTCTTGAACACTGCTACCTCTTAAATATCAAAAAGAAACTTCGAAAGAACATGGACTATCGGCGAACTAGCGGTGATAGCACGATGGGGCGCTGAATGTGCTACATATGAGTCTGCACAAAAAAACGAAGGCGTCTTCATAGATCTTTCTATTAAAGAGTTTAGTAGTAATATTTTGGGAAAATTTCTACACCGCTTCGTTTCTATTCTCCTACATGGACCATTAAAAATTCTACATTACAAAGACATTTGCAAAATCGCTATTGAATTAAAAGTAACTTGATAGCTACAATACATAAATTAAAATTTAACCCTTGAGCCTTATGTGCTTTCTGTTGATGCTTCTTAAAATAAAATGTTGAAAGCATTTCAAAATGATTGATAGTTGGTACAAGAATACAATGTATATTTTAAAGCACTACCCAAATCTCTTTAACTATAAAAATCGAATTTTCAGAATGTTTAAATGATTTTTCTGTTGAAAGGTTCGTAAATAAGTAATTTATATTCTTTAATTTTTCAGAAGGTCTGGTAAGAGGAAGTGGTGAAATTTGCATGAACAGTAAAAACAAAATATTTATTAATATTAAAATCGGCGCTTCACAAGACTAATCAGCAATATATATATATACTAGAAAGTGGCGGTATTTCAAAAGACTGTTTTTCCTTAGATACTTATATAGTGTCAAAGAAGCAGTTAGTAATTTGTCGGTGGTGGTGCAATTGAAGCAGATAATGTTATGGTAAATACCGAAGTAATCGGAAAAATATAATACTACTGCCGCTGAATCAAGTAATTAAATGCGAAATACTGAAGTAAAAACCACCGGACCATCTTTTGTTGAGTCATTCAAGCCTCCTGGTGGTCGAAATAGTATAAGGATTAATGAAATGAATCCATGGAATGACATTGAGCTTGCTTTACTAGAAATACCAGCACCTTTTTTGAGGTCTCTACTTCTATTCATCAAGAACTTGGATCCGATACGAAGTCTTCGAATAAGGACTAAATTTCCACGCATATGATTACAGGAAATGAAAGCTGTTGAAGGGCAAGATATTCATGCATCTTTCAGGACTATGTTTCTGCTTTTTCTGACTTACCGTTACCTGATTCACCTATCTTTAGTGTTTATTAACAAACGGTTCAAACTTTATGAGCAATTAGTCAGACCTACATCTACAAATACAATTCAAAATTTAAATAAACAATTAAAACTTAAAAATATCTTATTTATTTTAACAATTTTTAAAAAGTAGAGATCTCTGAATGTTTGTTGTGGTATAATATAGATGTATATCATGTACATATGTATGGTATGAATATGTCAAATGCTTTTATCTCGACTACAGAAAATATGCACACGTACATGATATATGATATGATACCCACAACACAGTTTTAAGTGTTACAAGCGACCTATACATAATATACAAATGATCAGGATGACAGACGAGTTAATCCGAGTGACAGTCTGTCCGCTCTTCTGTCCTTTCAAGCGACAACTTGAGTAAAAATTAATATATCTTGATGAAACTTCGTACACGTGTTTCTTGCCACCCAAGGGGTTTGGTATTGCAGATGTAAAGAATCAGTCCATTGCCACGCCAACAAATTGGCATTAATCGAAAACTTATAAATGACATAACTAAGCATTAAATTAAGATATAAAATTGTAATTTGGAAAAGGGAATCACAGATGTGAGGATCATATGTGGGCTGAAGATTTCGAAAAAGTGGGCGTAGCCCCACCTCCTAATAGGTTTAATGTGCATACATATCTCCGAAACCATTCAAGTTATATCACTTGGATTTACATTGAACAAATTCGTTCGATTCTTCTTACGACGGTGGGAATAATAATAATAAATGCGTCAGAAACATAAATTTTATAAACAGGATAGCCCAAGAGGGCTTATAGGAGCCGGGATCAAATTTGACAATGGGCGTGACACGCTCACTTTAGGTCACACATACCTCCGGATCTATCCGACCATTTCAATCCAATTTGGCACATAGGATTATT